TACTGTCAACGGTGGCTAACACAACCCACGTACACGTTGAAGAATAAATGGTGTTGGACATCAGCATAACAGGCAGACCTGCTATTACTCAGCCCCCTGGAAAGGCAGGCAGACGACCAGTCTTCAGAAGACAAAAGGGAAATCTCAGTGCAGTAACTCAGAAACATGAGGCCAGTCCCCGAGAGTGAATAAGCACAGATCGCTCAGCACCAGTGCACAAAAGCCCTATTAAAACAATCATTTGTGTGATGAACTGAAAGAACTGTTCCTTCCTAAAAAAAATATTTTAAAAACCCATGAGAAAAATAAAATCAATGCGATTGATAGTAGATAGAAAAAAAAATAGGGCCTTCAAGGTATACAGCAGAGTCTAGCTCTAAACCATAAGGACTCAGGTGGACCAAGATTAAATCAAACCTCAGCTATGATTTCAGAAAGAAAAAAGAACTAGTAAGAGAGGAATGGACGTGAGACCATGGATAAGTTCTTACTGAAAGCTATTATCAGTAACAAGCACCTCATTAAAAAACACACCTTGATGATTTTATTTAGGAATTTAACTTACAATAGCTAATGAATCTAAACAGATACTTGCCATTTTCAGAAAATAAAATGTAATCTATTTGCTTCCACAATGAAAGATCACAGGAAATACACAAAACCAGTATCTAAGCAAATCAGCCACTTCGATGGATTTACACTAGAAGATATTTTTCAATACAAAAATATTAAATTAGTTTCCCAAAGAAAATGTTTTATTTGCATCATAAATTCTCAATCGCTACATCAGAATTTGTTTTATTTTGGATGACGGTAGACTGAAGTTTATCTTTATGGAAAAAAATAAGAGAGGGCAAGATTTTGAGGAAATTAACAAACATTACATTATAATTAATTCTTTAAGAAAATAAGCTGTATTCAAGTATTATTCAAGAGTCATTTTTATATTTGAAAACACAATTAAAATGTAAATCAAGCCTTAGCAACTTGATCCATTACACTTCTGCCTAAAGAAACTATTACCACACAATTCTGATAAAAACTTCAAACTGAAACCTCCACTAGCCAGGAACTGTAAATATCTGAAAGTCATACAACTCATTTTGCTTGAAAATACATGGTAATATATTTACACTACCTCCAGATGTTTTTTCCCCAGTCACCCTAATGAGTAAAGTCTTAACATATGACTGTTCTCTTTTGTCAAAACGATGAGAAAATTTGGCATTTAGGTATGCAATAATACTTGGGACACTGCCCAGGCTAAAACACAAATCACTAAAGGAACAGGTTAAACAAGCATTTTATGAAGATAATTTCATTTAACTGAAGAGAGAGAGAAAAAATTGGACTGATTTTCCACATAAACTCCCTGGGAACGTTTTAATAATAAGCAAGTTTGTGAAAGAACTTCTCTAGCCTATTCATCCATTGTTGCTATGGTATACTCTTTATAAATATTCATGTTCACAGACGAAAAAGGATCCATGTATACCAAGAACAGTGCTATCTAAATTTTGAGAAGATTAAATGTGTTGATAAAAAACTAATTAAGCAATGAAACACTTCCTCAGTTAAAACTTTTAAATATTTAACTGACAGGCTTTTTCATTTTTAAATTATTTTGACATAAGAATATTAACATAAGATCAACCAAAGTTACATGGAACTGGTTAGAATTACAGCTTGAAGACAGGTCAGTATCAGTTTATAAGAGCATGGTCATTTAGTGAGTTTAACTAAATTTATGAAATCAACATTATTGCAAAATCTGTGACTCCGAATACTGATGTACTATTAAGAATCCCGTTTTTTAAAGCATAATTAAAATCACCTACTATTTAGTCAATTTAGAAGTAAAAAGAAGAGAGACAGAATGTATTAAAATTAGCCTGAAGCAATGGGGGAAAATCAGTATGTCTATCTTTACTTAGGGAAGTCTCCAATGGGTATTTCTTCTCTATTTTGTTATAAATATGTTTGTCTGTATGTATGAGTGAGTGTGTGTGTGCATAAAATCTTTCTCTCCTTCTCTCTCCTAACCCCTTATCATCTAACATAAGATGCACTGACTTTACACTATAGGTATTTAAGTATTATTAACTTTACACCATGGTATTTAAGTTATGAGATACTAAGTAGATTAAACATCACCCAAGGACTCTGAATCCTTCTCTGGGAAAAAGGTTAGTGTGTTTTCATTGTATACAGGATCATGATATCACGTTAGGCAGAAGTATGACCTTCTTATTGTCTTAACTTGAAGACTGAGTATGGTTTAAGGAGATGTATCTGGGTGCCAAGTTGACAAGGAATGGACCTGTGATGGTTAATTTTATATGTCAACTTGCAAGCCCATGACAGCCAGATATCTGGTCAAACATTACACTAGGTGTTTCAGTGCAGGTCTTTTTTAGATGAGATTAACATCTAAATCAGTAGACTTTGAGTAAGCAGATTTACCTCTTCATGTTGGTTGGCTCATCCAATCAGTTGCAGGCCTTAACAGAAGAAAAGACTGATCTTTCTAAAGGAAGGTAGAATTCTGCCAACAGATGGCCTCCAGACTTGAGTTAGAACGTCAACTTTTCCCTAGGTCTCCAGCCTACAAGCCTTAACCTTGAAGATTTTGAACTTGACAGCCTCCACAATCACAGGAGCTAATTCCTTAAAATAAACCACTGTCTCAATACACCGGTACACACACATAAACACACACACACACACACACACACACACACACACACACATCCTATTGGCTCTTTCTCTCTGGAGAACTCTTCCTAATACGTAGCCCCATAGTTAAGAGCTTGAGCTCTGAATCAAGATTACTTGGGTTCAATCCTAACTCTACTATAAACTAGTTAGGCCTCAGTCTTTGCATCTATGAAAGGGGATAATAAACATTAGCCCTTACCTCACAGAATTGTTTCGAGAATTAAATTTTATGCATGGAAAGTGTTTAGAAAAAGCATTGGGCATTGTTCTAAAAACTCAATAAATCTTAACTACGATTTCCAAGCTTCTTCTAATATAGCTAGTAAACTTGCAGTTAGTGTAAGAAATCTAGAATGGCATGAATAAATTTTTTTTTTTTGGAAAAATTTACAAGGTTGTTTGGAAATCTATTTTCGTAAAAGATCCTCAAGATAAAAGAAAACTGAACATACAGGTTTTTAAAATACTCATTTCTTGAATGGAATATCAATAATGAGCATTTGAAAATCACTGAAGTAAAGTATACCTTGCTGTATATAATATCTGTATTCTTAAAAACACACCTTCCAATAAAATATCTGAAAAACCAAATAATATGAAACTACTGATATATTATTATCTCAAAAACACTTTAAACTTGGTTTCTAATTGTTAATAGTTCTTAACACTTTACCTCTCTATTTATGGCCTCTAAATATTTCATTTTTCTTATCCTTCTTGCTTACTACCCACATATACTCTTCCCTATAATTTCACTTCCTTTCCCTACAATTCTCTGACAAGTGTATACTGTTTGTGTTTTTTTCTATTATATTTTGGTTTTATTAGAAGAAAGCCTAGCTGAACACTGATTTCCTTTTGGCCTGGGGAAAAACTTCATAACATTGACAGAAAAGCTGAAAACTCCAAAGAAATAAAAATGATAAAAATTAGTACTTAAATAGCCAATGCCTGATATGTGTCAAAAAAGACTGCAAAGAAAAATTAAAATGTGAATGATAAATGTCGAAAGAACGTTTCTTACATACCATTAAGTATTTAATACAAATACTAATACTGGTTGTTATTTTACAGTGTTTTATACTTGATATTAAACAGCCATACAACTTATTCCATATTAACTTCATAACAATCCTGTGAAGAAGGCAGAAAGCAGGGTTTTTCAGCACAGGTACCAAGAACAGGGAAGTCTTTGTCGTGGGCAACTGCCCAATTGAGCATCCCTGGTCTTCACCTACTAGATGCCAGTAGCCTCCCCTACTCCCACCCTCACCCATATTGTGACAACCAAATGTCTCCAAACACTGACAAATGTCCCTTAGGGACAGAATCATTGCCAGTTGAAAATCATTGCCAGAAAGACATAGTATCTTCTTTTTCATAAATTGAGTGAAACTCAGAGAAGTTAACTGACCTGACAAAATATACCCCTTCTCTGAATGACCTACAAACTTGACAGTTATAGGACACTGCCATCAACGCTTTGGATAAAACACTAATTGCCACCCAGTAAATCAATTGTGATTTTTGTATGCCAACTGTCTTATATTACAGACATTTCTGAACTCACTTTCTCCTCATCTGATTCAGTCATTATTTCAGGCTTCTTTCTTCCCACAAAAAGAGAACATGTCATTATAAATTTCAAATCAGAAATACACATGATGAAAATTTACTTAAGTATAAAACGTATTTACACAGTGCATACTCAGTTTTTTTTTTCAAAGCAGTTAGTTTGGACAAGATTTATGAAACAAGCTATCACTCTTACTAATCAGGGAGCTAATATACCATCCAGCCTCTAAGATCTACCTCTATCATACACCTATAAAACACTGAAAACATTCTCTTTTTATAGCAGCATCACAGCAGGAAACCTGGTCATATACTGAGAGATAAAAGCAGCTTTGAAGACACTTTGGTTATCTACCCAAAAATACTTCCAATAGACTTGAACTTCCATTGAAACTTTGTGAGCTTGCTCAATGAACTGACAGTGTGTGGTCTTATTCGGTGCAATAAATAGCATTTCTTTCTTTCATATTCTCATCCCTTCCCCATGTCTGAAAAAATACTGGATTCCTATATTAATAATTCTAAACACAAACACTTCATACAATTACTCAACCACTATCTAAGTAGCAGTCTACCCCCCTAAAACTTTCTCAACAACAACAAAAGCAACAGAGAATTGTCCCACATAATGCACTGTCATCTGCATGTGGGCTGCTGAGGTGAAAAGAGAATGTGTGAATGTCAGAGGACCGCGGTCACAAACATACCTTCCATGACATACACCAGTGACCCCACATCTCCTTCTTTGATGATGCAGCTGTCCTTGCCATACTCCACTGGATACATACAATCCACAATCTCTTGGATCTGCGACAGTTCCAAGTTCTTCATAAAGTCATTATCAAGGATGGCTTCCTTTATAAGATCCTTAGACCTATGGTAAGAGAAGGAAGATTTACTGGCGCAGCTGACAAGTGCTTTCATAGTTTGTGAGGTTGAGCAGAGCCATACAGTGTTCAGGTGCACTACAAAGGCATTTTCTTGTTAGGAATCCAATAATTTTCTGATAGACCTGAGAACAAAGTAATCCCATGGCAGCAGGAAAGACACTGAGAAATTTTCCTTCCAGTAAAGTATTATTTAATGAGCATGGGACCAACAAACAAGCAAAATCATACAGTTCCACTTTGTTGGAAGATTTTTTTTTTTTACCATAAAGATCACAGGCAAACATTTTAAATTGAAACTTGCAACTTTGTTAAAGAATAAATATGAACAAAATACAACAAAACTTTATAGAACAAACACTATCATTACTATGTTTATATATTATAAAAGAACATCAGGATGTATTATGCTACACCCAGTTACAGTAAAACACAATTTGTTTACTTATTTTTGTGTGCCTCTTCCACTAGACTTTATGCTTCATGAGGGCAGAGATCATTTTTAGCTTTCTCTCTACTATATGCCTGGTGTCTACTACAATGCCAGCTATAGTATGGGAGCTCAAGAAATATGTTGGATAAAAAAGTGGTTAAGAACTAGATTCCTAATTAGCTGTTTGAAACACCTGGTAGATATCTGACAGTTCTTTACCCATACCTTCTGCTTCTTTAGAGAGTATTTCTTCAAGCAGCTTACATTGAGATAACCAAGTAGGTAAAACTCTACTGAACAAGATGTTTTAAATACAACATGGTTTAAACAGGGGATTAAACAGGCAGTCGGCAGGAAACATATTTATTTACAAACTCTATAATTGAGATTCAGTGGTTAACAGAAAAGCTTTGCAGAACTTGAAAAGGGGGTGATCATTTGATTCTCTGGGATAAGAAATTCCAAATAACCTACTAAGGATACAAGAATCAAAGTAAAGAGAAACTGAGGCATATGTGGTCGAGAGTTGCATAGGGTACTTTCAGAGAAGTCAGCAACTGGATAAAGACAAAAGCAAAGATCTTAGCAATGTAGAGGATAAGCAACACATTTGGAATTCTATATTAAAAGTCTGAATTTGAAAAGCATCTGACTACAAGCTGGTCTTTGTCCACATTTGCTTAATCAGTGGCTTTCCCAGTAATGACCTGCAGTGATGAATACTTATTAAAGCACAGGAACACACCAATTCTAGCTGACTTCTCATCTAGACCTCAGTCTAAGTGATCTAGCCTTCACACATTATCTTTTTAATGATTTGGTTTTAAGTAATAAAAAGGTATACATCAAAAATGAATGTAAAATTTCAACATGAAAAATAGAATGAACCGTAAGGATGCAATTAAGTTGCTTATGACAAGTGTTAATTGCATGGGAAAAATTCTTATACTATTTTTAACTGAAAAAGCAGGATACAGAATTATTTTTAGAATAAGTATGTGTGTGAAATGTAAAGAAAATAAGCTTTCAAGTTAGATATATTTGGGTCCCAAGCCTAGTTCTGTCACATATTAAACCTTGAGCAGGTTGTCTTATTTTTTCTGAATTTCCGTTTTATAATCTGTAAAGTGGTATTTTAAAAATTACCAACCACCAACAGGTACATGGAAAGATGTTCAACATCTCTAGTCATTAGGGGTACAGGGGTACATAATTAAAACCACAATGAGATATCACCTCATGCCTGTTAAGAATGGTGATCATCAAAATGATAAGAGGTAACAATTGCTGGTTCAGATATGGTGTGTGCACTGTTGGTGAGAATGTAAATTGGTACAGCTACTATGAAAACAGTATGATGATAACTCAAAAAATTAAAAATAGAACTACCATATGATCCAACAATTCCACTTCTAAGAGTATATCCAAAGGAAATGAAAACACTAACTGTAAAAAGTATCTACATCCCCATGTTCATGGCATCATTATTTATAGGAGCTAAGGCATGAAAACAAATTAAGCATCCACTGATGGATGAATGGATAAAGAAGTTGTGGTACACACACACATACACACACACACACACACAGTGGAATATTATCCAGCCATAAAAAATGAGAAAATCCTACCATTTACAACAACACAGATGAATCCTGAAGCCATTATGCTAAGTGAAATAAATCAGATAAAGACAAATACTATATAATCTTATTTTATGTGGAATCTAACTTTTTCTAAAATACTCATAGAAAAAAGATATCAGATTTCTGGTTACCAGTGGTAGTGTTTGGGGGGAGGGGGAATTGGAGGAAGGAGATCAAAAGGTACAAACTTCCAGCTATAAGATAAATACACACTAGGGATGTAACATATAAAATAATGACTATAGTTATCACTGTCTGATATACAGGAAACTTGTTAAGAGGATAGATCCGCCCCCCCCCCAAAAAAAGAGAGAGAGTAGATTCTAAGAGTCCTTATCACAAGGATAATTTTGTTTTTAATTTTCTTTTTACTTTACCTATATGAAATGATGGATGTTAACTTATTGTGATAATCATTTCACAATATATGTAAATCAAACCATCATGCTGTACACTTTAAACTTACACAGAGATGTATGTCAGTTATTTTTCAATAAAACTGGAAAAATACGTGAAGACTGATAAAAATGTAATGTTACTTTCAATAAATGGTAGGTAGAAAAGGTGCTGGGAGTAAGTGCAGCTGCAGTAATAGGAAGAGTAGTAACAGAGTATACAATTATGACTTGGCACAGTATCACAAGGAAATAAAATGTTGGCATTTTGGTTGCCTTTGGTGACAAAATTCTATTTTTTTCTTTCTACTTTTCTCTACTTATAAAATTTTCTAGAATAGGCATGCTTTTTTATATTGAGAAATCTTTCACTTTAAAGGCAGTTTATGAAAAGTAACTGCTAGGAGGAAAAATAAAAATAACAACCTACTGCTTATTTAAATAATGACTTAGATATTTAATATTGGTTGACTGTTATGGGTATATTCAGTACAACTCTTCAGTAGATACTCTCTCATACGGCCTCTGTCTAAATACTAATAAACAGATGGTGAGGGAGGCCTCGTGGTTAAGAACTTCAGAATAGACTGTATTTAAAAAGTCCTGTTTGGGAGCCTTTCACTTCAGTTTGGCAGGCCTATTTAGCTACATGTTTCTTTTATTTATTTATTTTTTAGTTCTTGCTCACGAAAACTTTATTTCTCCTGAGGCAAAGAGCTGTTTCTCTTGAGTATTCAACGCAGGATGCAAAACTCTGTCCCCATCTATGATTTTGTGCCCGAGTACATGATCTACCCTAGAGAATGTTCCATGTGAACTTGAAAAGAATGTATATTCTATTTTGGGGGGATGTAATGTCCTAAAAATACCAACTAAGTCCAACTGCCTATTGTGTCATTTAGTTTCTCCACTGCCTTATTGATTTTCTGTCTGGAAGATCTGTCCAGTGATGTTAATGGGGTGTTACAGTCTCCTACTATGATTATGTTCCCATCAATTTCTCCCTTTATATCTGTTAGTAATTGCTTTATGTATTTAGGTGCTCCTATATTGGGTGCATATATGTTAACAAGTGTAATATCCTCATCTTGTATTGCTCCTTTAATCATTATATAATGTCCTTCTTTATCTTTCTTCATGGCCTTTGTTTTAAAGTCTATTTTGTCTGAAATCAGTATTGCTGTTCTTGCTTTCTTATTGTTTCCATTGGCATGAAATGTCTTTTTCTATCCTCTCACTTTTAATCTATGTATGTCCTTCTCCCTAAAGTGGGTCTCTTGTATACAGCATGTTGTAGGTTCTTGTTTTATTATCCAATCTGCCACTCTGTGTCTTTTGATAGGAGCATTTAGTCCATTGACATTTACAGTAATTATTGATAGATGTGTGTTTATT